GCATAGGGACAGCCACCAGAAGCTCCTTGGTACCAGGTCTTGAGTTTTGAAGAGGCTGAAGTGCCCTGCAAAAGGGGCATCATGACAGAGTATTTGGATTTGAAGCTTTGTTGGGCCTTTGGGCATGTAGATGTTCCCTTTGTTCAGCCAATCATTAAGACAAACAAGTTTGTTTACATTTACAGGAGATAATGTTTCCTGCTTCTTATTTACAGTGTTACCTGAAAGTGAGATCAGGCATTCATATGGCACTGTTGTAGCCAGCTTGCAAGGTATTTATGTGACAGATATGCTAAGCACTCATATGCCCCTTCATGCTTCAAACACATTCCAGAGGACATGCTTCCATGCTGATTACTATCAAGCAGAAGCTGTTATCTAAACCAGTGAGGACCAGCACACCTTCATTTTCATCATCTGAGTCAGATGTCACCAATAGAAGGTTAATTTTCTTTTTTGGTGGTTTGGATTCTGTAGTTTCTGCATCTGAATGTTGCTCTGTTAATAATTTTGCCAGCATACTCCACACCTCATCCCTCTCAGATTTTGGAATACGCTTCAGATTCTTAAACCTTGGGTCGAGTGCTGTAGCTGTATTTAGAAATCTCACATTGGTACTCTCTTTGCGTTTTGTCAGATCTTCAGTGAAAGTGTTCTTAAATCAAACAGCATATGCTGGGTCATCATCCAAGATTGCCTTAACACAAAATATATGGCAGAATACAGGTAAAACCATGGAGCAGGAGACATACAATTCTCCCCCAAGGAGTTCAGTCACGAACCCTGCAGGGTTCAAGTAACATTTCTAGCTTTTGCAGTTTTTCAAAATCTCTACTTGTTGGCACTGATAGACTGTGGTTTTGAAGAGCTAATGGGGCTGTGATAGCAGCTTTATTTCTAAGGAGGCGCTGAACCATACCCAACGTGAAGTTCCATCTGGTTGAAATATCTTGTACAAGAGGTTCTTGTTTCTATACATTTGCAGCTTGTATTTCTAGCTCTGTACTGTTAGCTGGATTGTGTTTGAAATAGCCCACAAGTTTTCTACATTTTGCCAGCACGTTTCCAAAGCCGTCATCCCTGAGCACTACTGTAATGGATCGCGGCAGACTGTGAGCAATGCATGTCATGTGTTCAAAAGACAAAATGATTGGCTACTGCTGTCATATTAGGTACACTGTCAGTACTAATTGTTGTTACCTTTTCTTGAATATTCCATTATTTTGCAACATCCAAGAAACTCACTGCACATTTCAGCATAAGTGTCTCTCTTCAATAGGAGTTACTGTTAAAACAAATGACTGCAATGTCCATGCAGCATCAATCAGGTGTGCCACAAGTCAAAGATAGATGTGATTACTCACGGATTTCCAGTGATCACTAGTCAAAGCAAGAGCTAGTGCATTTTTCAGAAGCTCCAACGTGTAGTCTTCTAGTTGTGATATAAGTCATGTATTCGTGATGCAACGGTTCCTCAGAATGGCAAGGTATATGACTGATTGGAAGATGCAATTTGAATAACATCTCTTAGCCCTCTGTTTATAGTGTTGAGTGGTCTGCAGTCCATAGCTATCCGCTTTGCAATAGCTTTGGTTAAGCTGTTGTACTTTATTTGATCCATGGGCTTGTAGTGATCCTGAAACTCTGTAAGGTTACTCTGTCGTGGCTGGTGGGATTCATTTGCTGTTGGTGGGTTATCTGTAGCACAAGAACGGGAAGTGAAAGCATGTTTAGCGCATAGGTGGCATGCAGACTTGGTATTGGAACTCAACTTTGCAATAGCTATAGATAACCATCGTTTTATCCAGAGAACCATCCAGAAGTTTTTTTTTTAAATAAACTTCCCATTCAAAAGACCTGAACTTTTGTTGCTTTGCTCCATTAACTTTTTCCGATATTTAAACACTCCAAATCATGAGAACACAGTAGAGCTGTGCCATTGTCCACCAAGTGATGAAATATAGTAAGTGAAGAGGGTCAAAACAGATGTGTGCAATTAACACTCATTAAAAAAAATGTTCATTTGTTTTGCGTTAGTCCCTTGTGTTAACTGATTAATTGACAGCCCACCTAGAATGATATAAAATTACATGCCACATAAAATAGATTAAAAATTGGCTAAGAAATAGGTCTCAAAATGTAAATGGGGAATCATCATTGAGATGGTGTTGTCACTGGAGTTGTGCGGGGATCAGTTCTTGCCCGATGCTACTTAACATTTTTATTAAAGACCTAGAAAAAAACATAAAATCGTCACTGATAAAATTTGCAGGTGACACAAAAAATGGAACAGTGGTAAATATTGAAAAAGATAGGTCACAGATTCATAGTGATCTGGATTGCTTCGTAATCTGGGGGTGAGCAAACAATATGCATTTTAATATTGTTAAATGTATACATTTAGGAACAAAGAATATAGGCCATACTTACAGGATGGGGGATTCTATCCCGAGAAGCAGTGACTCTGTAAAAGGATATGGAGGTAATGATGGATAATTAGCTGAACATGAGCTCCCAGGGGGATTCCGTAGCCAAAAAAAAGCCAATGTGATCCTGGGATGCCTAAACAGGGGAATCTCAAGTAGGAGTAGAGAGGTTATTTTGCTTCTGTATTTGGCAGTGGTGCAACTGCTGCTAGAATACTGTGTCCAGCTCTGCACACAGTTCAAAAAGGATATTAATAAAATTTGAGAGGGTTCAGAAAAGAGACACGAGAATGAATAAGGGATAGGAAAATATGCCTTATAGTGATAGACTGAAGAAGCACAATTTGTTTCACTTAACAAAGAGAAGGTTAAAGGGTGACTTGAATACAATCTATAAGTGCCTACATGGGAAATCAATATTTAATAATGGGATCTTCAGTCTAGCAGAGAATGGTATAACACGATAATGGGTGGAAGTTGAAACGAGACAAATTCAGACCATAAACAAGACTTTTTAAAAAAAAACTACACTTAGAGTAATTAACCATTGGAACAATTTTCCAAGGATCATGGTGAATTCTCCATCAATGACCTTTCTAAAATCAAGACCAGATGTTTTTCTAAAAGATATACTCTAGGAATTGTTTTGGGGAAATTCTATGGCCTGTGTTATACAGAAGTCAGACTACATAATCACAGTGCTTCCTTCCGGCCATGGAATCTATGAAAAAAAACAAACAAACAAACAGAGAAACCTTGTAACAGGTTCTTTGCCCACAGAACTATCAAGACAACCAGAGCCTCCTCCCCATGCATCCCCTTTCCCCCCAGCCCAAAAGAGGAGTCCACCCCAGCAAGCCAGGACTTTGAATGGAAAGTTCTGTCCAGACCTAGAGGGGATACACCTGAAATGGCAAATAAGGGAGATAATATTGTGTTAGGCATAAAACATTTATGTCCTGACTCTTCCCTGACAACCCTTCACTGGAAAGCCAACTCCAGTTTCTTATGGACCTGAGCAAAAAGGGCAGTGAATAATCCTTTCCCCTTGTCCTGTCAGCAGGAGACACAGAGTTCTGGACTGGCACCATGCCTATGCAGAGGAAGAATATGGTTTTCTCAGTGCCACTACAGAGATCATATCAGAGTACCTTGTCCTGCAAAAGTACCTGTGGAGGGCAGGGCCCAGAGGGCTTAACCAAGGAGGAGGAGGTGTTAATGTTCTCCTACTGGGTCATTCTGCACAGAATTTGGTGCTCACAGCATAGATCAAAGAATAGATGGCACTCACCTATCAGTGATCAGTAAGCTGAACCTGCATGACTGTAGAAACTGAAAGTGGGGTTCTAATTCCCTCAGCACTTTAGCACAGAACCTAACTGGAATAGCTGACTCCATGAGTTTGTTTCTTGCTCTGCTTATTTTAGGTCATTACCCCTAGAATCATCTCCACAGATCAATCCTCACAACCTTCCGACCTTCAACCCTTTTCACCCCTGCCTTTACTGGACATGGACCACCAGGCTATTTCCTCTGAAATGTCTCCAAATTACAATCTGGGCACCCATTGTGGACAACTCAATGAAAAACTCTGATGTAGTAAAAGCAAACAATGTTAGGATGCATTAAAGAATAGGTTGGAGAATAAAACTGAAAACATTCTAACATTACTATATGGATAAATGGTATGCGCTCACCCTGCATTTAGCAGTCAGCACTGGTCACCCCATCTCAAAGAAGGTACAGCAGAAATAGAAGTAATTCAGACAGACATAGGCAACACAAATGACTAGAGGCATGAAAAGGCTTCCAAATGGGATTGAAAAAGACTGGAGCAGTTTACTTTAGAGAGGAAACAAAAGGTGTTATGATAGTTACTCAAATAATAATGAATGGTAGAAAGAAAGTAAGTCTGGCTCTGCTATTTACTCTTTTTTCATTGTACAAAAAGAAGGGAGCATTTGAGGATGTTGAAAGGCAACAAATTAAAATCTAATTTAAGTGTCCCTTTTTTACACAACAACCTATTAACCTGTGGAACTCCTTGCCACAAGGTGCCATTGAGGCCAACAGTTTAGCAGGGTTTAAAAAAGGATTTGACATATATATAGATAATTGAAACATCAACAGTTATATTAGATAGAATAAAAATATGAATATTTGGAACCACATGCTTCAGGGCACAAGCCATCCTATAACTGAAGGAGTATAGAAAGAAGCTTCCCTTGTACAGTAAATGAGCCTTGACCTTTCTCTAAGCATCAGGAGCTGCTCACTGATAGTGAAAAGACACTGGATGAGAAGGACTGCTGTTCTGATAAGTTATAAGGATTTCTAATTATGTGTTTTCCATTTGAAACACTTGACTGGCCAGGGTACACTTTCAACTGACCCCAGAGTCACCCTCCAAAAGACTAAGAGAAAATGCTAAGTGTTTCTTCTATCCTTCTTGCCAAGGTGTTCTTTTTTCCTTAAATGTGCCTTTTATCCTGTACCCAATATCCTTAAAAAAAATTACATTTGCATCACAATGTGTGTGTTGTTTCTTTCACTAACCACTTTTTCTATTAGCAGAAAACCTCAGATGTTCTCCACAGCACACACGTGGCTCTGAAGTGGATAACCTGGATCAGTGCCTATCAGTTTAGATGCGGTATGAACAGACTTAACTTTAACATGCCTAAGTCTTGCTAGCCACCACTTTGTCCAGTTAGAAAATTCCTCTTGCCTGCCTATACTCAGTCATATCCCCAGTGCTCAGAGATCTTTCTTTGAGCCTAGAGAGGTCACTCATTGGAAAGTCACTTATACACATCCACCTTCCACTTAGGCATCTAAGAAGATGTTTATACGGAGATTAAAAATACATGGCTGGTCTGTGTTAGGCTCATGGGGCTCAGGCTAAGAGGCTGTTTATTGCAATGTAGACATTTGGGCTTCAGCTGGACCCTGGGCTCTAGGACCCTGTGGGGTGGCAGGGTCCCAGAGCTTTGGCTGCAGCCCTAGCTCGAATGTCTACATCACAGTTAAACAGCCCCTTAAGCCCAGGCACCCATGACTGACCCTTGCCAGCTGACTTGGGCTCATGGGGGTTAACTGCAGTGTAGACATACACTAACAGGCTTTGAAAATTCTGGGAAACCCACAAATAGAACATAGGTCTCCTAGTCCTGTATTGTGTCCACTGGACCATCCTGCCTTCTAGGTGTTTACACACAGCGGGTTAAGTTCCTTCCAAGAAAACACAGGATGCTGTCTGCCTTGAGCCCAGCCCCAGTAAATATGACAGCTTTGACTAAGTCTCATCTAGCAGCAGTCAAGTCTATAAAACCATTCTGCGTGATTTAACAGTACTGGCCGGCGTGATTTTCTGCTGCCGTGGGACTCAATAACTAAATTGTTGTGGTTCATTTGAAACAAAAGCCAGAGAAGTTTTTTTCCTGAAAGTATTTCAAGCGTTAATTATTTTCCCCACACACACTTTTCTGCTGAATGTACTGACACAAATGGATAGGAAAACGTATTCCTATCAGACAATGGCACTCTGAAGCTGGGGCATCTTTTTGAATTCCTCGCACGCAAGGGAGTTTGACATCACTTTTTGGTGCTGTGTGACAATTTAAAAATGAAAGTAATCTTTCAACAGCTTGAATGGCCTTTTTTTTTTTTTTTTTTTTTGCTTTAAACAGACAGCGTGAAAAAAGTAATGACAAAAAAAAATCCTTTTAATTTAAAATTCTTCCAAAATATCATCACTTTTCTACCCAAAAATATGCAACTTTACAAAAATTGAAAGGTAGTTATCTTGTCGAAAAAGCTATTTGAATAGCTTAGGAGAAACAAAATGTTTTACACTCAGCTCAAATGTTTCTTTTCTCCCATCTATCCAGCACACTATGAGGCAAACTATTTATTTATGTATTTATTTATTTATTTTTAAAGGAATTATGCTAATCTTTAGTTTGACAGTAACTACAGTGTGAATTATGAGCTTCCTAATAGCATGCACCTCTGGTGAAGAGTAGGATCAGTATTTTTAAAAATACCTTTTATAAAAATCCAGTCGTATTTTTCGGTTGATAACCACCTTTTCTTCCCCGCTTGTTTAACTATAGGAAAAAATGTTTCCTGTTAGCTGACTATTGCAAGCAAGATCATCAGACAACCCTAAAGCACTTAATTTTCATTAGGTGGAAAATATTGCTCACTTATGTTTTCTAAGAACAAATAGCAACCTAAAAATAATAGTATCCATATACTTTTCAGCCTGAGTGCTATTTATCTTAGGTGAAGGGAAAGCAATAAAAAACTAAAATAATTTCTCCATGAGAGAGTGTAGTACTAATGATCTTGAACTGAAGCTCAAAATGACAGCTATCTCCCTTAGGTAATTAGGGAGTTCTACTATGACAGGGGTTGGGGTTTGTCATTAATTTTATAATTCATGGCAAGAAAAAAAAATATTAAAAATGGGTTTAAAAAGAGGTCTGAATAAACTGGAGCCAGACCGTCCTAATGATCTGTGAAAGGCTGTACTTTCATTGGTGAGGTCCTGGGACTGATACAGCTACAACAACGTTGTGTACTTTGGTTGGGCATTTCAAAGGCAGAGGTGGGGGAGAAGAAATGTGTGCAACAGCAGGAGACTTTCATTCTGACCACGGGAACTCAGAGAAGAGGTTTGATTTCTAGTCATATATGATTTTCCTTTCTTTTCTGTAACTACATTAAGGGGAGTCTGCCTCATTGGAATTTTGCAATCTGTTCAAATGAGGCATGTTATGTAAACTATTTCTTTCATTTTAATAGGATTTTCACTCTATTTTAATCTTGTTTTTAAGCAAACACCTGTTGTATGGGAGTTTCTTTCCCTCAACGTCTAGAGCGAGGTGCTGCAGGGTGTTTCGCTTCTGCTGGGGCCAATAGCAGCAACAAGAGCTGGGTTCAATGAGTCTAGGCGTCCATCTGAGATAATAAATAAAACTCCGAGTCAAGCCCCCTTCCAGTGCCATATTCTTATATCTTCATGGCAAAATAAAAATAAAGCCTCCTTGATCATCTTTGCAAGTGTTTTTTCTCCCATTTGCAAGGACTCAGTGGTTTATTAGGACATGAAATTCAAGTGTCTCTGTATAAAAGAGACCTGAAAAAGATATATTAGTCATATAAGCAACCCAAAATTAACACAGCAGGAGGGAAACCTTCCTAGTCCAAAATAATACATGATCTGCCAGGTAATGGAGGTCTAGAGTCCTATCTTGCCATAAACCCAACTCACCAAACCACCACCCACAGATAAAGTCATTCTCAGTGGTAACCAGCATGCATCCAAGGTGACTCTCTGCTGCTGGTCTGGTTCAATCCTGATAGAACTATACTGCCAGGGTCCATTTCTGATGAGCAGCTACCCGGTCCAGCTCAGGGATTTCAGCTGTGCTTTCACCAGCCAGGTGAGCTGGAGTCCTGTGAAGTGAGCACTTTACTGCTACCACCCCAGCTTGGTTGGGCATCTCTGTGGAGTCCTTCATACAGAGCACAGAGTCTCCAAGTGAGGAACTCAGAGCAAAATAGGACTCTTAGCAGAGTCCCTGCTCCCAGGTATAGAGCTCCTTATCTCAGGACAGAGTCTTTTCCATTTCTTTCTCTTGCTGAACTCAAGCTTTGTTATCCAACCAAAGCCCATTTCTTATGCACACAAGCTGACCCGTCACCCTTAAATTCTCAAAACAATTTAAAATTAAATGGTGTTAGAGATTAAAGGTGATTTTACCATTTAAGGTGGCTTCAGCACTTGAGTCACTTTTAATCCTTAATGCAATTTATGCTCAAAGCTTTGTAAGGAGACAAGATAGCTTTGTTTCTTAATGTCTCAAAATTTAAACTCTTAAACTGCCTTAATCTTTTGAAGTGGTTATTACTTTAAAATCACTTTAAGACAAACCAAAGTCCTCCAAAATAATGCCAGTTCTGTTACTGACTTCCTCTGTCATCTTGGGCATGTCATGTAGTCTCAATGTGACTCAGTTTCCCCACCTATAAAACAGGAATAATAATATTGTGAATTATGTCAAGAACTAATTAACTGGCTAACATCTGCATAGCCTTTTAAACATGGAAAGGGTATGTATGTGCTATTAGATGCTGTATATACACAGTGTATGGATGCATATATACAATAGTAGAAATCTTATATTACAGAAACAGTTGTGCATACATTTAAGCATAGGTGCTGGAACTAGGAGTGCTGCCAAGCCAGGGGGTGCGAAGTAATTTCCATTATTTACAGGGTATACAGTTTGGGTCAATGGCTCTAAGCGCCCCCACTATACAAATTGTTCCAGCACCCCTGCTTTTAAGAACGTAAAATCTGACTGTTTCTCATTTTCCCTTTAGGTTACTGAGAAAATGCATATCAATGGTAATATGAGGAGAGAAGACTTCTGAGAGGTTGTGCATATACAGTGCCTATGCCTTCAGTGGTATGACGACATTTAAGTCCTGTCTCTTGAAACAGCTCTTTCAACTCTGTGTGCGGTTCACTCTTTTCCTGGAAACAGCTAGCTGTGCTTCACTTATAGAAAGCTGCCCACTGAGGCAAGATCATAGCATTATAATGTTGCTAGTCATATACCTTGTCACTGCTGTTGATCCTGACCTGAACAAAATTAGAGGAGGCAAATGTAAAATGGAGCATGCAGTGGCAGAAGACATGAGTTTCAAGCATAGAGGTGCATATGAAATGCATCCAAAGGTCACTACAATTATTTTGGAGACTGGCTAACTCTGTGTGTGCGTGCGTGTTTTATTTTATTGTAAAGGAAGAACATACAGTACATACCGACAAATGCTGAAGATTGACAATACAGCCAATAACCTTTGCAGGAGTTGGGAAAGGAGAAGTTACCATTGTTATGCCGAGAGACAGATGAAGTGACTTTGATTATCTAAAGTAAAAATTGTCGCCTGACAGAATCCCAGCAGCAAGGCCCTCATTTTGTGAGATACGTGATGAGTTTTTACAGTGTTCTAGTATTTGAGTTTTATGTTGTATGATATTCAGCAAGTGACAGTATGACCCTTTTCTCCCCCAAGATGTTATCACTTCTCTATGGCAAAGTAATTCTGCTGCTGTCTTACTAGAGATGAACTCATGAATCAGTGATGTGGGCTGAGGTGGCACTCCAGATAGCATTCTCTGAAATCTATAAATCCTTTAAGAAAGACAGTTTCTGTGCTGCTGTATGTTATTGTGTCCCAGTCATGCAATTCAATTTTGAAACTGGGGGTGACCTGGATTTGAGTACTAAATGGAGAAGAGCCACCAGGAGCTTAAGGAATCAGCACATTATTTGATGGGAACAAGGTGCTGAAGTCCAGCTATATTTATCTGCTGTTTCTAGTTAGTAGTGATCACAAACGCTGGAGTATAATTTGCTTTCATAATCTTTAATCATGCCCTTTCATGCTAGCAGCAGAGTATTAATAGAGAACAGAGTCCAATATATTTATTTCCCTCAACATGTTGTCTAAACCAAAGATGTGAATGCACTCTGCAAACGTTCAATAATTAAGCCTCGTAACGTTTCTGTAAAGATGGTGTTAATATGCCTACTTTAAACAATAATAATACTCATTTACATAGTACTTTATACGCTCAAAGCATTGTTCAGACAATAAGTAATCCTTACAGCACCCTTGTGGTATAAGTGGGTAGGTATTATATCCTTATTTTACAGATGTGAAAACGAAGACAAAAAGGTAAAGTGATTTGTTCAAGGCCACACAGTACATCTGTGCCAGAATGATTATTAGAATTCAGGATCCTCTAATTCTGAACCCTGTGCTCAACTTCCTTCAGCATTAAAAAATGTAAGATTTTAATCTTTGACTGAAAGCGGACAGACTTTAGCATTAGAGGGCTCCACTGACTACAAACCGATGGGGAAACTGAGGCACAAAGAGATTAAAGTGCCTTGTTCTATGCCACAGAGCAATTCTGTGGCATATCCAAGGCAGAGAAGGACTCCTGAATCCTAAGTCATTGTCACATCCAATGCAGCACTTCCCTTGACTGCTGTTCATGTGGATGAGTTTTCCTATTAATTCCTTCATTATTTGTCTCTTCTCTGAAGACAAATTATTCCTCCATACTATATGGTGAAATCTTATGTATAAAGTCCAACAATTGGGATTGGTAAATCCACAATTGCTAACCTAAAAAAGGAACTAAATCCAGCTAGATCTACACTTAAGAAAGTGGAACAATTTTCAAAAGCTCCGTGAAAATTCATTTCCAAGGTAACTTGTTTCAAGAAGGAAATGTACTGTAAGTTCAGTGGCTGGTGAATGAGCTCAGATGGCAGGCATTATGTCCACACTCTGAACTGCAGCAGGTAACAGAAATAAAAGGAGAATGGGACAAAGATCAGAGGGGTATCCTTAGAGAGAAGATCATAGACGAATCAAGCAAGTACTGACTAATTGAGAATAATGCCAGCCATTGATTCTTCATCAATATCACTTCCTGTAGCATCATTTTTTTCCCATTGGAGATATTCAGTGTAACTATTAGCTCAGGTGAGCTTGTGAGATCTGATGGAATCACAGAACATGCTGGCATTATCAGTTTTATTCCATCCACTAAGCCCAACATACTGTATAGTCTATTTACTGCTCTTATGCTTTAAAGATGACGAGAGACTTAGTGAGAGATCTTGCATTGCTTAGTACAGTAGTTTCTAATTTACTTTGCTTGTCAGGAGACTCTTGTAAATAAAATTTCAGGAGCTCCTTTCTACTGGATAAATATTTTGAATAATTAATAAAGCAGCAGCATTCCATTTCCTAGCATTTAATTTAATGTTTACTCATAAATGCATTGTAGTATATGATGACATCACACCTTGCCTTGGGAGCATGAAGGCTAGGATTTCTCATTTGGTTTCTTTTCATACTATATTTAATATGAGCTCTTCATCAAAATCTAAGTATTGTGGGTGAAAAGGAGGACAGTGTGACTAGAGTTTAAATCTTATAAAGGAAACACAACCTAGTCACCTCTTGTAGAATCCAGCTTTAACCAGTACCTAGTACTATGTACAATGAAAGTGAGTGGGTTCTGAACCTATTAAATCTCATCCTGTTCTCTGCTGAAGCTGTGTCAGTTTTTACAATTTTTTTTTTTTGGTGCTTTCAGTGGTTGGCTGGAGATGATAAAAGCATCAGAATGGACTTAGCTGCTGGTCTGGGTAAAACCCTGAACCCATGTGGAGTTACATTAAAGTCATTTGCAGGATCAGGTCCCTAGTGACTAGAGGTGGGGGAAATGGCTAATATTTACTTGTGACTATTGCTTATCTAAATTGATGATATTTCACGGCAGGTGCTGTGGTCAACTGGTTACAGCAGGGGATTCCAATTAGACAAGACTTAGTCGCGTAATGCAAAAACCGTTTGAATTCAAAATGGCTCCTCAGTTCAACCATGTTAAACAATTCCAACCTCACCAATTTCAGTTTGCTGCGATAGGACGTAATGGGCAGTTCCCTTATTACCGCTAATTACTATCACAAATTGCATAAGCTTATACGTGAAAAATGTAATCACCAGCCTAAATTCATTTCAGGGACCATTCTTGGTTATGCTGGCAGAGGCCTCTGTCAGCACTCACTGAGGAGCTCCCAGTGATGGAAATGACTGAATTTTTTTCTCTGATGGTCCAAGGCAACCCACATCATGTTTGGTGCTTGTGGGAAGTGGGGTAACCAAAGCAACAAAGGGATACTCTTCCGATTCAGTACATTCCCTTCAAAAGTCTTCTTTGGTCGGGTTGCAATGAAGCTATCGTTATGAATTAAATAATCCTTCAACTGGAGGTAATCCTAAGAAAGAGCAAACTCTGGCCTTGTCTATGCACAAAAATTGTACCAATTTAACTATACTGAAATAGATTCCTATGGGAATAACTATACTTGTATCTTTATGCCTGTATAACTGTGTCCAAACTAGGAATTGTAAAAATTGTTTTTATAATCAATTAAATTATTTTAGTTAGGGGGTAGAAAAAAAAATCACACCACTAAAAAAAAAATAAATAAAAAAAAGAGTTAAATTGATATAAAAACAAAACAACCCTTTGTAGACAAGACCCAAAGTAAATGAAATCTCCCTGCATCAGCTTTACATAATCGGGCCCATTATTTATTAGTTATGTAGGGAATGTGTTTTGCTGATAATACTGAAAAAACGAACCAACAATAATTGGGTAATTTATGAAGTGCTCTACACTGCAGGGAGTCAGTTAAGGCCACTTCTCTTTTCTCACATTTCAAGGATGTTCTTATAAAATGAGAATCTAGGCCTTTGAAGCTAATTGAGGATGATATGGTTGAGGCACTAATAAAATAGCATTTTACTGACTCTGTTTGAATAAGGTAGGATGTTGTTTTGGGGCAGGGGTGGTTGTTTTTATTTTTTCCTTCTTTCCCATGTTGGAAATTGCTTATCACCGATTTAGAAAAATGAGAATAAAAAGGCCAGAGATGTCTGCAAAAGGTCAGCCACTTTTCTACTTTGATTACAAATTAGGATTTCTCTGTGTGTTGTCAAAATGAGAAAAGAATCAGAGTTCACCAATCGAGCTTTAGCTAAAGGATACAAGACAAGTCAAAACATCATTATGCAACCCAGAATTAGAGAATGTAATAAGTTATTTTTTTAAAAAAAATTGTGTCAGTATAGGGAATATAGGGGCAGGTGTTCTGTCTGTGGGGTAGAGAGATTTCAGCTGGAACACAGAAAGGGGAGGTTAGAAAACCATCACACAGTTATGCCAATACAAAAGATTTATTCAGATGGACAAACCAGGGATTATTTTCATTCAAGCATGATCAATGATTCCCTTGGATATAAGCAAGGGCTAGATTCACCCAAGGTTCTACGTAGGCAAAAAAGTCAGCATATGCCATGATCATGATAAGATACAAAGTACACCGAGTTGTAACAGTGGGGACACATATTGCTTATGATCTCCTTTCCACCAGAGGGCTTATAGGGTGGGTAGAAAAAAAAAAAAAAGTGGTACTGACTGAGAATAGATGGTGAATATGACAGCAGGAAGATGGAGGAGATTCAGTGCATCACCACTGCTGCATCCATCAGTGGTGCTCCTATAGGTAACCCAGCTTAAAGCTACCTGTCCCAACAGCTGGTAGTAATGATGTCTACACTCCCAGAGGGAGCATCACTCCCTGGGTTGGAGCAGCCTTCACTGATGCAGGGGAGTGCCCCTGGGGCTGACTGTGATCCTAAGGCTTTGTGCTGTTTTTCTTTCCATGAGATCAAACGCCTTTAAATATTTATAAATAGAAACATTCCAAATGATGATCCATTTATAACATGAATAAAATGGAATCTGTCTAAGTAAATTTTTAAATAGTTATGTCCTACACCGTGGCTAAGATAAATTAAAGAGCATCCTGTAACTCATAAAAAACACTGGATAATGTTCAAATGAGTAACAGTTCTGATGTGCATCATCTTTCCTTTATTTCCCTTTTATTATCTCCTTGAAAGTGGATTTTTTGTTGATTTGCATTTTGTTCCATTTTATGCTTTCCTGTGTTATTTGGGGCCTTAGGTCATGCCATCTTAGTCTTGCTGCTTCATCCCCACCTCTAATCATCCCTCTCTAAGAGGGATCTCATTTCCATTGATAGCACATATGTAGGATATTTGGTTTTGCAACTATATTTATTCATCAAAAAAACAAAGGACAGGAAATAACGAAAGTGGACCAGATTCAAGGGCAAACCTATGCAGGGAAAAAACAAAACAATTCCAGACTCCTATGCAGGTCAGCAGTGGTAAAAACCTGTTAAGGGGAAGAGGTTATGGCAGCACAAATTGGTTGCTAGTTTAGGCTCTCTCTACACTTGGAGCTAGGAGTGTGATTCCAGCTCATATGCACTAGCTGTCATTGAAGTAGTTTGCTAAAAGTTGTAGTATAGCCACATTAGCATGGGGATCAGTAAGTGATGACATGGGCTAGCCGCCCCAAGTACATATCCATAAGTTCAAGGCAGTTTTGGATTTGGGGCAGCTACAACAGGGCTAGCTGTGGTAGCATGGGCAGCAGCACTTCTATGTTTAGTATGGTAGCTCTCAGAGAGCTACCATGAGTATGTCTACACAAGCTGGGAATCATACCCCTAGCTCCCCCAAGTGTAGGCATAGCTTTAGATGCACTAGATACAGAATGGACACAAAGCCAGACCCCCAAAGTGGGGTATTATTGGACAGGAAGGAGTATGGCTAGAAGATGTGCTGATAGATTATATTCTCTCTCAGCAGACTCTGTTGGTGGGGGCCCTAAAACATTCTGGCCATACACTAAAGCTAACCTGTCCCTCCCACTGCATAAATCTTGAGGGAGAGCTGGCAATGGTGATACATCCTGTCCTCTACTGTGGTGAATCTGGAGTTTAGGGGACATCACTGGGGCAAGGATATGGAACTACTAATGAGCCTGTCCACCATGATAGATCTTAAAATCATAATTAGGAATCTCCAGTCAAAATTTGGCTGCCTAAATCAATAGACAGGATATGCAGAGATGTTTCCAAATACAATGTTTTCCAACTGTTCCCTATGTGGAATCAACCACTCACAGAAGATGCATGTAGAAAAAAAAGGAGAGAGAGAAAAAACAATGCCCTTTTAAATATGATGTGTTTTATTTTACATCAAACTTGATCATATACTGATTCACTTTAGTCTACAGTTATGCTCTGAGAGAAGAATCTCAGTGACATGTTCTGAAAAATGCCTGGTTCACTAAACTTTACCATACATTTGCACATGCTATTAAATGGCTGATTCTTAAGAAGGTCAGGACCAAGAATGAAACCATCTCTTTGATAGGTGTGGTTCACACTCTGTATTGCCACGTGGGAGGACCATGTTTGATTTCCTGTTCTGGTCCCTTTCTACCTAAGCCATCATCATGGGAATCATGGAGAGAGAAAACGTCCTGACTTTCTAACCAAGAACACTGCCAACTGGTTAAGGAGCAATATTGATAAGCTCTGGAGCAAGTCTCTCCTATCCCACCTTGTGTTGTGGGGCTTTAAGCATACAGACAGCTTTCAGAGTAGCAGCTGTGTTAGTCTGTATTCGCAAAAAGAAAAGGAGTACTAATGGCACTTTAGAGACAAATTTATTTGAGCATAAGCTTTCGTGGGTTACAGCTCACTTCATTGCATGTATGGAATGGAACATACACACACCCTTCCAAGTTCTGGGACCAGACTACTTCAGAGATTCTTTTTATCCAAATGACCCACAAAGCAGCTGTGCTCACCAGTGACACAGGATACTAGAAAGACCCAGGATTAAACTCTGGGGAGCCATAAGCCCACAGGATTCTCCTTATTGAATCCTTAGTGCCCGATCAGCCTACCTGTAGAAATTAGAGTGAGCCCTAATACTATTTTCAGATCCTGGTGCAAATTCCACCTATTTGAAAAATGCTGGTACAACAAAAGGATGCGGATGGGGTAGGGAGAAGAAGAGGGAAATTTAAACAAATAAAAATAAACCCCAAAAGCTTAAGCAGATGAATACCAGGATTTTCAGGGAAAAGTCATTATTTCAATATTTGCCTATTTTATGTCTGTATTCTTTGCCTATATACAATGGTGATTTGGCATCACGTTTGCGAAATAGGTAGCTAGATCACTGCTAATCTGAATGCAGATATAGGTGAAAATCTTAATTTTATTGCCAATCCTGCTAATCTGTTTCAGTGGAGTCTTCGGTGGATTTTTGTCAGTGTCAAATTGACTAAAACCTGCAGCATATGGCCCGGATGAAAGCACAATGATAAAACGTGTCTTGTTTTTGCCTGTCAAATTTATTTCTGCATTCATTCTACTTCATTTATTTCTCAACTCCAAGAAAGTGCCATCTGCCTCCACACTCACACAAAATAGCAACTCACTGTACAACTTTTCTGAAGTAAAATCATAGTTAGAAAAAGAGAGGGGGTCAACAGATAGGCATTTCACCTTACCAAAAGGCC